TACACCCAGGGAGGCTGTGCTCTCGGCTGCCCTCGGGGGTCTTCTGGCTCGGTGAGGCGAAACCGTGGCTGACCCGCTCTAGTGTCGGGCGGAGTCCGGCTTCGAGGGGGCAGCTGGGCTGGAGCCCTCCAGGAGTTTCTTCTGGCTAGCTCGTCAGCCATGCTGTGGGTGCAGCCACCCGGCAGCAACACGTGTGCCGCGAGACTCTTCTGCCGCTTACAGCTACTCTCTTTGCCATGATACAAACTAACCCGACAAAAGTGGTTTTCTGAGGGTGCGGTTGGGGTTAGGGTTTTGCTGGCCTGCTCATGTAAACTGGGATGTGGGGGTTCCTTCGTGCTCCTCTGTTAAAAAGCCAAGTCACAAACTACTGTGCCGTAGACCAAAACCTACCGCACATTTTTAAGGGGTTTACAATTATTATTGAAGTCAACAGGTTCTTTCTTGGATTTCCACGAGCGGGATGGATACTGGACTGAGCCTGGAATAAGTGAGGCTCGTGGCACGAGACAAGCCTCTCGTGGGCACTGTTTGTCTATGACTGAAAGCCACGGGTGAGCAGTTTGAACGCTGAGCTGTGAATAAAGAGTGACTGAGGTCTCACTCAGAGAGGTCAACTAGGACAGTGGCAAACGCTAAACTTAACAGACTTTTACTATCTCATGGATTTTGACTTACAGGAACCTCGGTGCGCAGAACAAAAATAACCTCAGCAAACTAGGTAACCTGACAGAGAAAGGCTGCCTTCCGAAGCGCAGCAGGCAAAGGCAGGGAGAAGAAAGTACACCCATTTATCTGAAATAGCTATAAAGAAGGATGAGCACTCATGTCTCTCTTCTTCTTACGCCAGACTGACAGCTTCCTTCTGCATTTTAACTGGAAACCGGATCGAAGCAAGCTGGGGGAAAAATAAACACAATAGGGGTGATCACACAAGGCTTTTTAGAGCCTAGGTTACGATGCAAATTCATAACGAGGCCCAAATAACAAAGTGAAAACACACCCCCCAAAAAAAGAGAGACTTTTAATTTGCGTTCTGTTTTCTCCCGTCACGTGCCCATGAATCACCTTCGCAGCCAGAGGTGCCTTGAGCCAGCGAGCCTCTGAGGCCCACCAGCGTTTCTCACCGCCGTTTATAAGGCAAAAACAAACGGCAGCTGCATTAAAAATTAAAAAAAAAAAAAAAAA